CATCTGTACAGAGAAGGATAATTTGAAGTTAAAAAATATACTTGTCAAAAACACTCAAGCAGTAAACTAAAGGTACACTTCAGTGGTAGTTGGTGTGTTGAGCATTCACATTTTTTACGTTATGTTGTTCTTTCATGTTTCTATAATGCAATTCTTGTTACACATTGGCATATATATATATATACTGTACATGAATCCCAACATGTTTGTGATAACCTAAAATGGACATAGAATTCTAGCCAATTTATCTGGCTGGCTGTAGTGCAATTGCACTGGTGGGAGGGGTGATGGGAAGTTTGGGACTTTGAGGCTGGACTAGAGCGCCTTTGCTCACACTTCTCCCCTCTGTCAGTTTTTTGAATCAGAGCCATGGGACAAGCCGGCTCTGATAGCTAGGCAGCTAATGTCAACAATGGACCTCAGAGAGTCATTAGGAATAATGTGACGCTGCTGAGTGCCCGGGCCTCTGCTTCATAAAAACAGGTGGTCCTAGGGTCACCCCTCCTTCTCTTCCCCTCACCTCCTCTACTTAGCATACCTTCTGGCTCCCTCCCTCCTCTCCTCTCCTCTCCCCTTCCACCATTCCCTCAGCACACACGGGAAAGGTTATTTGGACAATTGGTGGTGATTAGCTCTTGATTTGGCTCACTCTGTACATTTGATCAGGCCGTGGCACGGAGAGGAAAGCCAGTGCGACTGAGGGCGCAGCTGTGGCTCGGCCATGACTGAAATTGGGTGAGGAAAACCAGAAGGAGAAGGAGGGGAAGGGAGGAAGCAGATGAGATGAGAGGGAAGCAGGGTTGAAGAGGAAGAAGAGGAGGAGCGAGGGGTGGGGGGTTTAGGGACCTCTAGGGTCCTTTGCTTTCTTGGCAGTTTGAGTTATGGATTTGGGACTGCTGGCAGAGAAAATGTGAACTGCTTTGTCCCTGTTATTCCAGGTGTGGGCCCTCGTAAAGAAAAAAAAAAATTCCTTTCAACCTTTCGTTCAACAACCTGATTCCATCCCCTCGATGCCTCTCCTGGGTGGTGGATTGCTAACCAGAAAAATGTGGGTGCTGCCTAATAGCTGGCTGGTGAATCGGGTTATAAAGTCTACTTTGCCCTAAAGTGTTTGGGGGCTGTGTTGGCTGGGTTGGATGTGCTGGCTGCACTGCTCTTTGGGTTGGATGGGGTTGGTGTTGGGCTCAGGGTTGGCCCAGAGCCTCAACCTGGCTGGTTAGGCCAAGGAATTTTTCTCACAGTAACGGCTGTTCTATCCATCCTTCCATCCCTTCATCCACCCATCCCTCCACTCACAAAGCCAGCCAGGCAAGTAGGAAGGGCCTCTCACTATCTGGGTATTTAGCCAACAAATCCCCCTCCACTCCTTTGGCCTCTTCTCTACGCCCATATATCAGGCTGACGGCTGCGGAGAACCCGACATCCAGCCAGCTGAATAAAACAGAGATTAAGCACCCACCCGAATCCATTTAATTACTCGTTCAACAGCTCTCGGCGTGTAACTCCAACCGCTGTGAGAACTTTGCTGTTCTTCAGTCTTAACTTTGCTCCCAGTGACCACAGGGAGTTTGACAGAAGTGGCTGGTCACAAAAGAAATTTTGGCCTTGGTAACTCAAATAATCCCATAATCAGTTGTTGTTAACTGCATGTTTGTGTGTCCACAATTTAAGGCTTGGTTACCAGGGTGTGTAAGGATGGGGGTGGTGGAAGCAGGCTGAACTATTCTGTATTAACAATGACATGACATCTCATCTGTAGACATCTGTAGATACAGATCTGGCAAGTAGAGTCAGTATTTGACAAAAAACACCTACGCAATATTGTCACTATATAGAGAAGAATAACATCCTGCTGCTGACAGGCTGAGACATTATTTACCCTCCTATGGTACACTAGTGTAGCACATGGCTTCCTTATACAGTAATTTTCCAGTACTGTTGCATTTTCACAGTAATGTCTTCAATGGGACAGATGTACCTTTTAAATCAGTAATCAGTAAATTACATAATGACAAAATTACATATAATTAAAACTGACCAAAATGAGCAGTTAGCAGTTAGCAAATAGAATTGATATATTTGTTTAAATCTAGAAATTCAAACTTCTGCGTTTCTTTATTTTTAGAGAAAACTCTGACTATCTGAAGGTTATGAGGCCCTTGATGAGGGTTACTGAATGTGTGACAGGATCTTGGAAATAAAATATTTAGAGTTCACAAAGACGGGGTTACCACAGTAGACGGCATTTATTTTTTGGCATCACTCGGGCGGTGTGCAACAGCCTCCAATCAGCAGCTACAATATGGCCTGTTGTCAAGAATGCATCAGTTTGGCCGCAGCATGTTTGCTTTTGAGATAGTGGTGAACCAGGGCTGCTTTTCTGTGTGTGACACAACACACCCAGGCCCTAGAATCAGCTTTAAATTTGTCTTACTGCCAGCACTCACAAGGATTTGTGCAAGAGTACTGTACGTACATGGCAACACATTCATGTTCACACACAGTAAGGCTTGAGAGAGCAGACAGGCCCATGATGAAAAGTCGCTAAGCAAGCTAATGTGACTGAAACTCACACATTTTTTTTTTGCATTTTTCTAAAACTAGCGCTGCTTTTATGTTTAACAAGGCCCTCAGCCTCATCAAGGAGAGCTGACGCGGCTGAGGGCCAGGAGAGGAGGTGCTGGGTGCTGGAGGGGGACTGGGCATCTGGGGAAAAACCTGAGGGGGACCCAGGGTGCTGCAGAATGCAGAACAGTCGCATGACCTTTTCTAGAATGCTGCCACCCGCCTGCCACTGAAACACGGTCTGGCTAATTAAAGTTTCAGTGGCATTGGATTTTCACTGGCATAGCACACCTCGGGCAACCTTGGGGGCTCTTAGGCAGGCGATACACACAGAGGGAAGGATGGGAGATATAAGAAGAGAGAAAGAAGAGCTGTGGAAAACGTTGAACAAGGGGACAGCCGCTAGAGGACAGTATGGTGGATCCAAGCAATAACAATCAGTCAGTGGCTTTCCATTACACACAGGAGAAAGGCTATATATTAGAATGCAAATCTACAATCCCAAACATGCACACTACTGGGGTATTTTACATAAGCTCTGACATGGTTTGCCCTTCCAAATAGTTATGCTCAAAATATTCAAGATCATATGGAATTAGAAATGAAATTGAAACTGTCCAACTCTGTACAACTGGGTGAATGCAAGAGCTAAGCGAGAGATATGCAATGTCAAAATGCTGAGTGCTTTTCCAAATCTTATCGGGCCGACTCTCAGGCTAATGGAATTTTGATGGGTCAGTATCAAGAATAAATGCATGACTTATGACACGGCTACCGGGAGCATTACCAAATACACTGGACAGCATGTTCCCGTCTCCAAAGGATCATTGAATAATTGGCTGCGTTTGACCAGGACATTTCTGGAAATATGGCCAAGAAAAGGTTATGCAACCAGACAGACTCGCTCATGGCCTGTATTTCACAATCTGCTGGCCTTGTCTCCATTAATGATCTTGACCCCCTTTTCACCATTTGAGAAGTGAAAGGGCCTAATGGAGCTGAACAAAGCTGCTTGTGTGTGTCTGTGTGTGTGACTGTGTGTCAGAGACAGAGACACAGAGAGAAAAGAAAGCCCTCGTGACTGTTTGTTACAGCTTGATGAGGTCTTGGTCTGTGATTCCTGAGGGAGGTGGTCCAATCTAAGCTTTATTAGGCCTTATTGAGCTGTGTGCAGGCAGGTGTGTGTGTTTTCTCTATCAAGAACATTTGGCAGGGCTTTATGAGTACCTTTGTGTGTCCCTAAAATACACTCAGTTGGCAGCAGTTTAATGGGGTGTGCAAGGTATTGTACATGGAGCTTTTTTCATGCCTGTAATTATCTTCTCAGAGGTGAACTTTTTAGTTTGATCAGTTCTGTACATAGACCTACTGGTTTTATAATCGGTTGGATTATTCGGTTAGATTATTTGACATTTTGAGATCATCAATGTCGGCTGATGCCTACGCTCATAAGGCAAACAAAAAATGTCTACAGACACATCTGCAGGAACGATGTTAGCGCTTTGTGAGTTTTGGGAAGGTGGTGAAATAGTTTCCATCCCAGTACTAGAACCCTCATGCATCCTGCTGTAAACGTCATTAAAAAACTCATGTCGGTCAACCACTAACCGGTCCAATGCCTGTCTGCAAAGATGCCAACTTTGGGTCTAACTATGTACCTTGAATATTCTACAATATTTTATATATATTATATTATATATGCAATATTTATATGAGGTCTTTCTTCCAAAAAAGAAAGATAGTTGTTTTGTTTTGTTGTTTTAAGTAAGTGACTGATAATCTGACTAAAGACAGAGAGTTAAAAGGATCCAGTTTTGAGCTGGCGAGCTGACTTTGACTGGTGGCCAGGTGGACCAGCTTTGATTGACATTTGACTTGGCTGTTAGCTTCATATTTTGGTGCCCATTAGCCAGATAAATAAATAAATTCTTCAGTGTTTCCAAACACAAATTGGTTTTCTTGTCTAAGTACAACATCCCCTACGCAAGATGTTTCTTGTGTCTCAAATCTGTCAGCTATTCATTCAGTTAGTGACTGAAATATGATCCTCTCTGGGTAATCTCTCCATTTGACTTATTTGGACTGCAGGAAAGCATTCATTCATCATTTTAAAGTTGAGATATTGTTTCCATTAAATGCTTTTAAAGATGACCTTTTAAATTATTAGCTGTATATTTTTAGACTGAATTTGACCTTTCACGCATTATACAAGCAGCTTTCCAAGAGAGTCAAATGACAAAATAATTTGTTTCTTAAAATGTTTACATTAACATAGAATGTATGGAAAGTAATAATGGAAACATCAAGTTTCCACATTAAATAAATTAAAGTGGATGATATGAGAAGCACATCACGACCAAGCACACCCCATACTGGCATTGGCAAGTGTGACACAGGAACTTCTGTATTTAACTGTAATTTTTCCCAGTACTCACGGTTGGCAGAGTTTGATGAGGTCCTGGTCGGTGGTCCCAGGTGGCAGGCCTCGGATATACAGGTTGGTCTTACTCAGCTGCTCTGCCCCTCCCTGGCTGCAGCTGTTGGTGCTAGGGCTGGGAGGAGCCATGGGATGAGGGGGTGGAGCATAGGGCTGCTGGGAAAAGAGAAGGAAAGACTTAACACAAACGACTAAAATCGGTTTCATTTAATGGGATGACATGGGATGAAGATGAAATAGTTAAAAACATTGAGAGGTGAGGTGAGGTGTGAAAAAAAGAAAATTTCTGAGACAGCAGAAGAAAGTTTAAGAAGAACTGAAAAATATATCTATTAGAGACACAGCAGGCATCACCAGTTCAATGTCAGTGCAATTATGTGAGTAGAGATTTTAGGGCAGCTGCGAAACTGAGAGAATGAGACCAGGGTCAGCAAGAGATGTAAACATCCAACCCAGCAGCAGATATTTATGAGTAAAATCTCAAGAAAAACAAACATCTAACCTCAGTCTCGAATAATAATATTACATTGCAGAGAAAACATTTTCAAATAGAGAAATAACATCTGCACAATGACAAAAAAGTCAAAAAAGCTCCTCAGATGTATTGACACTGTAGTATTTCTATATACACTTTCACTTCATCTTTTCCATTTTATACCACATTTTTTCACCTTTGTTCAGCAGCAATAAATTGCATCTGAGGTTCTCAGTCATTGTGCAGGTCTTTTTTTCTAAACATGCAACTGGAGTCAAGAGAGCAAACTTTTCTACATTTTTTATTTTAAGTAAACATTTTACCAAGGGAACTTTGAAATTAAGGTTCATAAGGCTTCCAGCAGCTTATAACAGTTTTAAATGATGGCAACTTCCTGTTTACTATTCATACCCTCAAAACCAATTTCAATACTGTAAAACAATTTACACCTCCAAGGGTGTGATATCTTGACGCAGTAATCCTCTCCAGCCTATTTCATAAACATCTCAATATGAACCTCTTTTTTTTCAGTATAATCTCTATCTTCCAAGATGTATTAGATATCTGTTTCCCTCTCTTTCTTCTTCTCCCTATCTTTTCCCCTCCCCTGCTCTCCTCATGTGTCTGTTGTGCTGTTAGTGCAGATTTATGGTATAGGAGTCAGGGCCCCCTGCTCACAGCCCATTTATATCTCTATTGCAGGGATACTGCACATAGTGACAGAAAGAGAGAACCAGGGCCCTGTGGGCATAAGCGGAAAGAGAGAGAGAGAGGGAGGCAGAGAGAAGGGGAGAAATAGAAGAAGAGAGAGCGAGAGGAGGGGAGGGAGAAAGAGACGATGCTCACTGCAATAAAGTAATGAGTGATGGATGAAACGGAAAAGAAAAAAAATGGTCAGGGAGAGCGGAGGACATGACTAAATACCACTACCAGCTCCAGTTAACCACATTAACCCCTCATCCTCCCCAGAGAGAACCGGAAGACCCCATACCATGGTGAAAAAGCACATACACACAGTTAAACACGCACGCACACATTAGCCCTCCAATCCGCCCCACACGTTAGCAGCGGCTGCCGAAGCATGGCTGATTTGATGCGCTATTTTAAGCGTGTGTGCCATGCCAGCGTGTTGCCTCCCACTCCTCAGACAAAGAGCCGGGGTCCCTGGAGCGTGAAGAGGGAGCCACGTCCATCAATGGACGGCCAATTACCACGCTGAGCTAAGTGGAACTGATGGGCAGCCACTCGCTGTGCTGGACACACACGCACACACACACACTGTACAGTGTACACACGTCAATGTTTGTGAACACACACACACACACACGCCACCTGATAACACAAAACACCTTTTTGTTAACACAGAAGCCAAAACAGCCAGTTCTTTGGGGGAACTTCAACTGACAAGTCTCAAGTCAAGTCCCAAGTCCTGCAGGGCAAATCCATGTCAGGTCACAAGTCTTCATAAGGAAAGATTGTAACTGGTGGGCTGTCTTGGCCAGAAATCCCTCGGAAAAGAGATTTCAATCTTAAGGGACTTCCTGGTTAAATAATGGTTAAATTTAATTAAGGTTTTTGAATGGTGCCCATTAAAACGGCATGTGACCATTTGGCTTTCTAATCTGTTAATAGTTGTTAATAGTTTTTTGCATAGCAGAGACAATTTAATTCCTAATAATAATAATAATAATAATAATCCTAATAATTAAGTAAGCATGATATTTGGCCATGTAAGGCTTCTTGTTGTTATTTATTTTATTTATTTTTTATCAGGTCCAAACTTGAGAATTAAGGGGCACCCATGTGGATTCAAGCTGAATATCTTAACCATGAATCACAACATCCCCAGTTTGAATCCAGCCTTGGTTGTATCTCTCTCTCCACTCTTTTCAATAAAAGCATCAGATTAAAAAAAAACAAAAAACATTGAACTTAAAGGTCTTTACTCAGGTAAGTAAAATACCACAACAGTAAAGTGGACACACACACGCACAAACTCCACTCTACCCCGTCCTCCAGTAGAGTGCCTCATACTGATTTGGTAGCCTTGGTTGCACAGGCAACAGCAGAACTAGTCTCCAGTCACTCACGTTTTCATGCAGTGGCTGTAGTATAGAAGAATCTTAATCTCTTGAGTGCTCCATGGGAGTTATTTTCTCCCACTCAAAGTCACTGGAATGTGCACAGCTGCAGTTCAAGCCTCGACTTTGAGGCTTTCACCTTACGTCCCCACTCCCCTCGCTTCCTTCGTTTTATTTTCCCCTAGTCCACTGTAGCTTAAATTATGCATACAGTACTTAACATACTGTGTGACACGTACAAATTCGCCAGCACAAACAGGAGACGCTACACAGAGTTGCTGCCAGCACTGAAGGTTAATTGAAAGCCTATCTCTCTTTCTCTGGCTTTCTTTCTTTGTTTTAGCCGTTCAGTAATACACACAGCCCACCTTCTCCTCCTGCTCCCCCTTCTCCTCCTCCTCCTCCTCCTCCTCACTGGGCTCCATGCAGGCTTGGCTTGCATCCTGGGCTTTGGAATTCATGTGTCCCGCCCTATCGATTTGCTTTCATTTTTTAAGGTCAGAAGCTGAAATCTTACACAATGAGGCATAGAGGGTCAAAACCAGCCCATTACTTACAGTGTTGGGCGAGAAGGCAGAGAGTGAAGTTATCCAAGGGGAAAGAAAAAAGGCCGGAAGAGTCCCTAGGGATGAAGAATGGAATGGGTGCTGAAGGTCTCAGAGGAATGGCGACTGTTAGGTGGATAGCGGGACTGGGTGAGCGGGTTTAATGTCGGATTCTTATGAGACATAAAGACTTATGTTGTTGGTTTTTATGTTATGCATGGAAAAAATGTATAAAGTGAGTTTCTACTCTCGTACTCTGGAGAAGTGCAAATGTTTAGCTGTCTAGGATAAGTTAAATGGACAAGAAGAGGCTCTTCAAGTGCTTGTGTCTGTGTCTACATGTGTGGTGGATGCATTTAAATACGTTGAGGGTGATACGTGAGGGTCAACACGCAAGCACAGAAGCATGCACTCACACATTCACACCAAAAATGTTTTCCCTCCTTTTTTTGTTTTAAATCAAATTCTCTGTTGGCTCTCTCTGGTCACCCCACTGGAGGTTAATAACCAAGCTTGTTTCTCTTTCCGGACAGTTCCATGACTGCTGTTTACCCTCAGCCTGTCAGCCAGCAAGATCCGGCTTCTCAAATAAAAATATTATATATTATATAATAAATATAGGCCTTGTGTCAGAACGATGAGGATTAAATACAGCACTTGAGAAAAGGGTATTTCAGCAAGAGAGCAAAGGGAATGGAAGATTGAGGGGAAAAAGGGAGGGACAGACAAGGGAAAAAGGCAAGAGAGAAAGAGTTAAAGAGAGAAATAGAGGAGTGTGGGGGAATAGCTGGTTATGACACTTCAAAAACCTCCAGGTGGTAAATGAGAAAAACCTCCATTCTCCCTCCTCCCTACCCAGCTGTGACATGCCGCTACAGAGGCTTACTGGGGATTTCAATTTGCCGCACTGTATTTTAGATGGGCAGAATGGTTTACACAGGCCCAATTTACTGAGCCAGCCGTGCAGGGGGGTTCACAGCCTCTGTGACATGCCAGGGAATGTTTATGAGTGTATTAAGTGAGGATGATAAATCTAGCGTACGTTACATAGGCTGAGGGCACGCAGTACTGCACTGTATATTCACACACCCACACAAGGACAACACATATTTTTATTTTACAGACCATAGCTAGCCCTCTCTGACACTGAGAGTAATGTATTGTTATTTACATGCTTGTGTACTGTATATACAGCATCTTGCACTTGAAATCTTACACATGTGCAAGTGCTGTTGCGACTTATTTATACTGCATGTGATTGCTGTCCTATTAAGAGCACGTATCTCCCAAATATCTATTTTAATGACCAGCTTTGTGACAAATTCAATTTTAAGATAATCCAAAGGGTTTTTTAAATGATTTATTTTTTTTAGAAGTATTTTCTCAACACAAAAAACAGCAATGGCGATGAAATGTCATATTCTCATGTCAAGTCTAAGACATCTGAATTAGAAATGAGGACTTTAAACAAGCATGTTTTAGGAAAAAGCAATAATTGTTATGTTATTACAATTACATTAAACTTTTAATTTCCTTACATATTTATGATATGACATCTCTATAGAAAGCATGTGAAAAGTTGGTTTTCCCTTTTTTCCAAGATGATTATATCTTAAAATGGCTATAAATAGCAATTTTATCCAAAAAACACACACACCTATGACAGCAAGCTACTGACCATCAAGAGCAACTCGTCTTATCCAAGGACACTTTGATAACATTGTATGGAGAGGAGAGCTGGGGATCGAACCGCCCACCCTGTGATCACTGGACAACACACTATACCTCCTGAGCCACAGCCACCTTAAATCTTTAGATAAGGTGGTTCCCTCACTTGTATAAAAAACGTGGAAACATACTATGTGAGTACACAATGTTTGCCACACAGAGAGGAGGGCAGCCGTAGCAGTAATTGGAATGAAAGCAGGGCTGTGGCTTCCCTGCCTCTCTCCCTTCCTCCCTGCACTCTGCAGGGAAGGGCTGCGTCTGGAAGAGAGGCGGTTGTGCACCACCGTGGTAATTGGCCCTGATTTATAGGAGGCCAGAGCAGTC